TTTATTTTGGTATTGGGAATTGAACCCAGGAGATCTTAACCTCTGAGCCACATCCCCAACCCTTTTAATTTTTTTTTCTTTGAGATAGGGTATAACTAAGTTACTTAAGGCCTCACCAAGTTGATGCTGGCTTGAAGTTCCTCCTGCCTCAGACACCCAAGTCACTGGGATTACAAGTAGGTGCCACCATGTCCAGCCTTCTTCAATGTTCTATAGTTTTAATTGTAGAGATCTTTAACCCAATTGGTTAGATTTATTCATGGGCATTTTTAGGCTATTATGAATGGAATTGGTTTTCTGAGTTCTTCCTCAGCAGATTCAGTATTGGTGTATAAGAAAGCTATTTTTATATGTTGATGCTGTAACCTGCTGCTTTGCTGGGTTTGTTTATTAGCTCTGGCAGTCTTCTGGTGGCGTGTTTTGGATCTTTCAGGTATAGAACCATATCATCTGTAAACAGTGATAATTTGACTTTTTCCTTTCCTATTTTTATCCCTTTTATTTCCTTCTCTTGCCTAGTTGCTCTGGCTAGAATTTCTGGCACTGCACTCAATGGAGTGCTAAGAGTGAACATCCTGGTCTTGTCCCAGATTTTAAAGGAAGTGTTTTCAGTTTTCCTCTGTTTACTATGAGGTTTGCTTTGGGTTTTTTATATATAGCCTTTATGGTGTTGTGGTAGATTCCCTCTATCCCTATCACTATTATCTATCTCTATTCACTGTTATCTTAGATGGGTGCTGGATTTTGTCAAACCCCTTCTCTGCATCTGCTGAGATGACTGAGTGACTTGCCCATCAGTCTGTTCGTGAGATGAAGTATGTTTATGATTTTCATCTGTTCAGCCATTCTTGCATCTCTGGACTAGACCCACCTCATGGTGGGCTATGATCTTTCTAATGAGTTGCTAAATGCGACTTGCTAAGTTTATGAAGGATTTTTGCATCTAAATTCATCAGGGGCTTTGGGCTTGTTCTCTTTCCTTGTTGTGTCCTCATCTGGTTTTGGTACGGGTGTGACACTGGCCTCATACAAACCTGGGTGTGTTCCATCCCTTTTTATCTTGTGGAATAATTTGAGGAGAATAGGCATTAGTTGTGCTCTAAAGGTTCAGTGGAATTCTGCTGAGAATTGACCTGGTCCTGGCCTTTTCTTTATTGGAAGGCTTTTGATTTCTGCTCCTACTTCATTGCTAGTTGTTGGTCTGTTTAGGTTTTCTATGTTTTCTTGATTCAATTTTGGCAGGTCACATGTGTCTAGAAATGTATCCATTTCTTCTGGTTTTCCCATTTATTGGAATATAAGAATTCTGTGTGGTGCCACAGATAATGTCCTTGATATCTTTATATTAACCACCGTGATTCACATACTCAATTGTAGGCAGCATGAAGCAAGTGGCATGCTGGTTAAGAACACTCTGTATGGACATCAAAGACTAATCCACGGCTCCCTGGAGAGCCTATTTTGACTGGGTCAGTGTGTGTGTGTGTAAGAATTTATAGATTTAGTCTTATCAGCTATTTTAAGAATTATACAGAGTCCACTATGATTTCTGAGTTGAATCTGGAGTATGGAGAGATTATGTAGCTGCTTGAAAAAAGAACCCCATAGAGAGATGGAGGTTAAACTTGAGGATCTAACCAAGATCCGGTCAGATGGTTGGTCACCCTACTAAATGGAATAATTTGGCTTTCATTATTGAGATTCTTTTTTAAATTTTTTATATTCAAATAAATATCTCATAAAAGTTATTTTAAATTATCAATAAGCAAAATACTAACCCATTTGTCTCAGCTTATTTTCTGTTGTTATAACAAAATGCCTGAGGCTAGATTGTTTATACAGAAGAAAAGGATTCTGTATAAACTACGCCTCTTTGAGTCACAGTTCTGGAGGCACAAAGGCACAATTCTAGCACCAGCTCTCTCTGAGGGCTGCTGGCTGCCTTGTCATGGAATTCACTCACTGGGACTTCCCATGAGACCAACACTACTCTCTCCTGAAAGTGTCTCCATAACCTAGTCACCTCCCACAGCCACACAGGGACCAAGCTCCCTGTACAAGAACCTTTGGGGACATCCATTTCAACAACTGTACCATTCTAACCTACTTTAAGAACATGTGAAATGTAAATTTATATGCCAGTGCTATTTGGTGTTCTTTCCATTATTTTGAAAATAAAATGGTGACTCTTAAATGTTTAATTTAAATAGAAACGCAATTTAATCTAATAACTAATGAACTAATGACCAGGGCTTGCAGCTGGAGTAGGCAGGAGCAAGTGAGGCATTCCCTGAGGGTCAGCTTTGCGCATGTGGTCAGCACTGTGCTTTGAAAGGATTGCTTCTCTTCCTCATAGTAGAAATAAATGCCTGTGAATGGGGGTGTTCATGGGGCATGGGGGGAAGGAGGTGAGCAAGAGAGGAACATGGGATGTGGGCCTGGTGAGGAGGAGTCAGCAAATGTGTACCAAAACACATGGAAAAACACAGGACTCGGACGCCAGTGCAGGAAGAAACACTCAGCTGTTTCTATTTATGTTGGAAATGTGATGGAAATGAATAAGCCAACTGCCAAAGAGTGAAGAATATTCAATTGGCTCACCAAGAAGTATTCAAGACTGAATCTACCCTCTGTCCTCTCCACAGTTCTGCTCGGGATTGGTCCTGGTGAAACAAGCTGGAGCTGGTGCAGACCAAGGCCCCTGGGCTCTGCAGACACTGAGCGCACAAGGTGCCACCCTCAGAAGAAGCCAGTGGCTGGTGAGAAGGAAGCTCTCTTCATAAGGCCAGGCAGAGGAACCAGGACAGGTTCCCTGAGAAAAACGTGGGCCTATACCAACCTTTTAAGCTCTGTCTTTTTCTGCAGTGATGTATGGTAAGAAGTTAAGGATTGATGTTTAAGCTGTGATCCGATTTTAGGCAGATTCCTTGATTTGCCTAGAATATAAATAATTAGCTCAAATACTCTTTCCTTTTCTTAGGAAGGTGTCCTTTCTTGTTGGCAGGACACCTTTATGATTGTAGCTGAGTGGCTCATCAACCTGGGTGTATCATTAGATGCAAGCCCCCGGGGCTTCACTACTGTGTCCAGCACCTAGCAAAGCTGATACATAACAGTGGCACAAGATTCGTTAAAAAAAATGAGTGAATTTTCTACAAAGATGTTGTTGGATGCAAAACAAGATGCCCTTGGAACTTACAAGATGCTTTTGTGGGAGCAGATGCAGAGGTCTGAGGGGCCTGGGTGATAATCAAGACATTGCATAGTTCTGGGGCCTCACAATATGAGCGTGGCTGCAACCTAAAAAAGAGAAGCCTGATTTTCTACATATTACGGGGAAAAGATATGTGACAGAATGGGACCTTGGAAATAGGGAATAATGTTTTATTTTTCTGATTTCCTTACTAGTAAAAAAGCTTAAGTTTTATGAGGGCAGTTTTTTTTTTTTTCCCCGTTTGGACAGATGGATGGGTAGAAGGGTAGAGTGAGTAGATAGGTGGGTGAGTAGATGGGTGGATGGCTGAATATGGGTGAGTGGATGGGTGAGTGGCTGGATGGGTGGGTGAGTAGATGGGTGAATGGCTGGCTGGATGGGGAGGTGAGTAGATGGATGGATGGGCAGATAGATGCATGGATGGACGGATGGATGGACGGATGGATGGACGGACGGACGGACGGACGGACGGACGGATGGATGGATGGATGGGTGGGTGGGTAAGTCAGTAAATGGGTAGATGAGTGGATGGGCAGATGGGTGGGTAAGTAGATGGATGGATGGATGGGTAGACGAGCGAGTAGATGGGCAGATGGGTGGGTGGGTGAGTAGATGGGTGGCTGGGTGGGTGAGTGGATGGATGGATGGATGGATGGATGGATGGATGGATGGATGGATGGAGCTGGGAGCGCCAGGGCGCTTGAGAAACTGTGGTCCCTGTCTCTGTCCTAGCAGCTGCAGCACCCAGGCATGGTGGCCAGACTCTTTCCCCATGCTGACTGGCCCTCCCCAAGACATCTTCCTCAGCTGCATGGCCCCACATGGCTGCACCCCAGGAAGCAGGAGCACATACATTTCCTTCCTTTTAAGGGCACAGCCCTATGGATACACACATTTGGGCTCACACCCACTGGCCAGAGGGCCACCAGCTGCAAAGCAGGCTAGGAAATGTGGTCTTCATGTGCCGGAGCCACCCTGGGTAAAACTACTATCACTGAGGAAGGGCAGGGCAGGTTCTAAGACAGCACAGAGGACTGGTGGCAGTGTGTTGGGATCATCTGAGCGTTGTCCAGGGATTCTGGTACCAATGAAAGCTAAATCCCTGAAGCTGGCGAGTGGCGTTTGCAGTTTCCAATTCTTCGCATCTCCTCGTGCTCCACTTTGAAGAGGAGGAGAGCTTCAAGTAGCACCTCTGGAAAGGTGAGAGTATCGTGGTGGAAAGTCCTGCAGGACACATCACAGGACCATGAGCTCCCTGCACACCTCATCCCTGTGAGCAAAGTCCCGAAATGAGTGGGTAGAGCAACAGTGCCCCATGAGCAGCTCTGGCACGGCAGCCTGTGGGGAGCCTTGACCTTGGCAATTCTGAGGCTTGGTGATCAGCATCCCAAGTTAGCCCCAAGGACCTTGCTGACACGGGGTTTCCTGGTACAGTGAAGTCTCTGGAACTGCCTAGCTGAATCAAATCCCCAAACACAGGATTCCATGAGGGACCTCACGCCTGTGCCCTGCCTGAGCAGCCTGAGTGTTTCTATGCCAGGGAATTCCAGCTACAGGTCACTCTGCTAGCATGCAGCCTGTAGCCTGAAAACATCTGTGCCAGCATGATTTCCAATGGAAACACATTACGATGGCCAGCCATGCGCACAAGTGTCCCTGTGGGGTGGGAAGTGCCACTAAAGTCACCAGGACCCAGAAACGAGGCCAGCAGGCACAAGAACTGTAGACTCCTTCTCAGCACACACCTACGCACACACAATAGAACGACGCTTTAGTACTTCTAATCTACAGCTCTGACTAGAGGTTTATTTACCAGGAGAGGGAAACGGGACAGATCTCTTGCCAACCTGGGGCACTGGAAATAAAATTACAAAACTCTACAAAAAGCCCAAATCAGAACTGCTGTGCAAATACAATACGAGGAGCAGAGCACTCTGCTTCTCAGTTTTCTTAAATGATCTTTTCATGTTCTGTGGAAATTACAGACATAGCTCTTCTCAATAAATGTGTAATTTGGATGGAGGAAAGCCCAGAGTTGGCATAAAATTCATCTCTACCCGTTGATTTTCAGATGTTTCTGAAACAAAATAGAGCAGAAGTGATCTCACACCTCTGAGAAACAGAGCTGTTTCCAAAAGGGGGTAAAGAAAGAGGAGATACCTGCAAATCTTGTGGAAACGACAGAGATCTTCTGCCTAGCTCTCGGGCAGTTCCACATGGGTAACTCAAAACAACTTCCTTTTTTTACGCCCAAAAGCCCTCTGCCTGGAGCCAGACACAGCAACTCAAGCACATGGATCTGGCCAGACCAGAAGGGCAGTGGTAAGAAGGCACAGTGGGCAGGTGCTCTGCTACATTGGCTGTTAGAACCCAGCTTCTGACGTAAGGGTGGCCAGGGGCCAGAGGTACCTGCAGCCACATCTCCCAGCTCTGCAATGACTCCCATGAGCCTCCTTCTCCTGAGCTTCTGCCAGGGGTGGAGTAGATGGGGTCTGGCCACCTGCCTCACCAGACAGCACCAGCATCCTCTCTCCAACCCATATTTCTGGGAGAAATGTGGTCCTTGGGGCCTCAGGTGACCTTGGCCTTGGAGGCCCAATTCTGGAGCAGCTGTATAGACACTGAGGTGTCAGGGCCCCCTGCTGTCGTTTCTGTCAGCTCTGGATCCCATAGGGAGGGTCGCTTTCAGCTGGTTGGAGGGCACAGGATCCCATCTCCAGGTGGCTCAGGGGGGCTGAGTGGCTCATCAGAGAGCTCAGCAGAGCTCCAGCATGCTCAGTCCCAGATGCCCCCACCCCACTCAGTGGCGGGCCTCAGACCTGCCCCTCTTGTGCCCGCCCTCCCATCTTCTGTTATCCCCAGTTGGCACTCTAGGCACCTCTGTGGTAGGACGAGGCTGAGCATGGGGTCATAGCCCTGTTTCTGGGGAACTTGCTGTAGTCGGGAATGCTAACGACAGTGAGAGGGGTCACGGGGTAGAGGCAGAGCAGCAAGACAGCCATGCCTGTGGGGAGGCCCTTCAGTATGGGTATTGGGCCTTAACACTGCACAGGAAGCCTTAGCCTGAGTCTGGCCCAGCAGAGACCTGCAGGTGTGAGAGTGGGGGCACTGGGGGCTGAGAAGTCTCAGTCTGTGGGCCCAGCCTTAGGCCTCGGGACGGTAGCACATGAGGTGGCACCCAAGAAGACAGACAGCAGCCTCCTGCCTACCAGCTCCTTACTGAGCTTCTTCCTGTCTTTGGCTGCTACCTGAGTGAGGAGGCCAGGAGGGGCTGCTGGGGTCATTAGTCACTAGCAGAGATGCTCGGGAGGGGCTGCTGGGGCCACTAATCACTAGCACAGATGCTCAGGAGGGGCTGCTAGGGCCGCTAGTCACTAGCAGAGATGCTCGGCCTTTCCTTCTTTTTCACCATAGGGGATGGAACCTGGGGGTACTCCACCATTGAGCTTCACCTGCAGCCCTTTTTATTTTTTTCATTTTTAAAATTTTGAGACAGCGCCTCACTAAGTTCCCACGCTGGCCTTGAACTTGTGACCCTCCTGCCTCGGTCTCCTAAGTTGTTGGGTGCAAGGCCTGTCACCTGGTTTGGTGGCAGCAGCATCTCTGGTCTGGTGAGTTTGCTGCCTGCCTCGAGTCCCATCAGAGCTGCCATGGAGGCCTGGGCAACATGGACACGAAGCCGCAAAGAACACCCACAGAGAACAGAAGAGGAGGCAGGGCATGGCAGAGTGACCATAGGAAGGAGAGGCTGGGAGCTGGAGACCATGTGGAAGAGCCAGGGGCAGCAGAGCACAGGCAGACCAGGACCCAGGGGAATAGCAGTAATGACCCTTGGAGCCACACTGGGTGCAGGCTGAGCAGGTGGAAGGAGGAACGGAGCTGCAGCCCAGGCCTCCATAGCAGCTGTGATGGGATTCGAGGCAGGCAGCAAGCTCACCGCCAGGACAAGTGTGGGAGTGCCACGCCTGAGCCCGGATGTTCCCTGCTGGAAGGGGTCACAACTTGCACCCTACCTATGCCCCACCTACTCTGCTCCGCCCACTCCACCCCCCAGTGTCGCAGCTGCACCCCACCTGTGCCAGTGTAGGCCATCCTGGGGCCAGTGTGGCCAGGCCCAGCTGCCCTTCCTGTCCCTAAGCCTGGCCTCCAGGACCAACCCAGGAGGCAGGTTCAAGTTCCCATTGTTTTAGGCTCCTGAAAGATGGCCAGCTTCATCTTCAGGTGACCCTGGGACGTTCCTGCTGGAAACTCAGCAGGGAAACAAATTGCAGCATGGAGCACAAGCAAAAGGCACTGGAGGGCATTAAGTGAAGCAGGCCAGACGCGAGGTCACGTGGTTCTCCCCTGTAAGAGACAGAGAAAAGGTGTGGGGGACAGGGGTCCTCATGAAAATGGAAGGGAGGCCAGCAGAGGAACAGGTTGGGCCCACTGGGAAAGAAGCTGACTGGATTTCACTATTACACTGTGCAAATATGAATAGGTAATAAGGAACCCCATCATTACATGTAATTATAATGCACCAGTGAAAGTAGGGGGAAAACAGGTGGAGAAGGACCAAACAGGCTAATGCAGAGGATTGCCCTTTCCACATGCAGCCAATGCAGGACATAAAATTGGTCTGGGGGTGGGAAGCTCCAGCTCTTTCTCTTAGGTATTCAAAGGTGTTCCTCTTTGCCTACTCCAGCCATATACACTTCAAAAACAGTAATAAAATAAATGGGGCCTCTGAGGGCCACCATCCCAACGGTGCGGAAGTGCGCACATGGCTGACTGAAAAGGGGCATTTGGAGACATCCACAAGACAGGGATCAAAAAGTAGACCTCCCAAATGAGACGGACAAGGACGTTGCATGACCCTCACATAAGAAGCAAACAAGTGACTGTGACACCATCCTCATCTTTTAGAGAAATGCAGTGCATTCCTGTCAGGGAGACAAAGCCAACAGTGCCAACTGACCAGGGCAAAGTACCCTCATGCCTTTCCAGAGGGCAACCTGGCAACGCACACAGAAGTCTTATAGCCTGACACGGTTTCCAGACAGCTCACAGGAGCTGGCCTTACATAAAGACTTGGCCACAGGAGCCAGCCACAAAAGGAGATGAGAAAGACCTCGACATCACCAGGGCCAGTCAACCCAGCAGCTGGCTCTGCTTAGTGGACCACTGTGCAGCACTGGGAATGACACCAGCCATCTCCACGGACCTGAGATGACACTGAATGATTACAAACGAAGCCACTAAGCAGCTTTTACAAGTGCACTTTTATCAGGCTCACTACGGTGTGCTCATACATCCCTCCTCGTCCACACACACACTCAGGATAATGAGGTGCTCCAGGGTGGTGGCAGAGGTCGTCTGGGCACATGGCACCGTGAGTGAGTTTTCAAGCCTTCTTCCCTTTTCTTTTGCTCAGGTTGCTCAAATGAAAACATGGAGCTTAGTGTGTTAGTCAGCTTTTCATCTAAGACAAAATATGGGGCAAGAAGCACTTTGGGAAGCCGAGAACAGTGGCGCATGCCTGAAATCCCAGCAGCTCAGGAGGCTGAGGCAGGACAATCGAAAGTTCAAAGACAGCCTCAGCAAAAGCAGGGCATTAAGCAACTTAGTGAGACCTGCCCTAAATAAAATAAAAAATAGGGGTGGGGATGTGGCTCAGTGGTCAAGTGCCCCTGAATTCAATCCCTGGTTAAAAATTTAAAAAAAGAACCAGTTGGTTTTGGCTCATGGTTTCAGAGGTTCAGTCTGTGGTGGGCTGACTCCATTGCTCTGGGCTGAGGTGAGGCAGAGCTCGTGGGTGTGGTAGAGGAAACTGCCAGTTCATGGCAGCTTCATTGCAAAGAGAGCCAAGGAGTCAGGGACAAGACACACCATGCCCAAGGTATACTCCAGTGCCCCACCTGCCTAATTATCACACAGTGCTCCACTCACATCATTAATCCATCCAGTGGATTACTGCATTAGTGAGGTCCCCGTTCTCCTAATCGAATGTTTTCCTTCTTAACATTCCTGCATTGCCTGATGCATGCACTTTTCAGGAAACAACTCATACCCAAACTGTAACAATTAGGCAATGAAAACAAAATTATTGTAATAAACTCAACGTAAAAAATTAATTCCAAAATGAACTTCATAGAGCAAAGCAGAAAGAACATGTAGGAGCCCTGGTGCCTTGCTAGGAGCAGCCACCCACCAGACAGGTGCCAGGAGCCTCCCAGGTACCTGTTGCTGTCTCAACAGACACAGCTCCCTGGAGCCAGGGTGTTGTCTCCCAGCGTCATCAGGAGGGTTCTCAGAGGGGAGGCAGAAGCATGGCATCTCAGGAATCCCTCTCCCACTATTTCTGGCTTGAATTTAAAAGGCAGAGGTATTTAAACAGGATTTAATTACAAACTCATGCACCAGAAGCAAAAATCCAGTTCCTTATAGCTGCTAACCGGGGGAAGGGGCAGAACCCACTGAGCCAGGTCAAGAACCACCAACTCTTCTACTGAAGCAATCTCATTCCAGGGTCTGCTTTCAGGATTCTAACGCAACACATACTTACAAAAAGACACACTGGGCCAGGGTGTGGTCCGTGGTTTGAGTGTGTGCTCAGTATGCGAAGACCTTGGATACAATCCCAAAACAAAGGTAAAAAGTGATGACAAAAAGACAGACTGAACCATACTGAAGATATATTTTTAAAAACATGATGTAAGAATACAGAGTTTCCACAGGTCAACATGGCACCAGAACATTCAGGACCCTCACCATCCACACACTCCCCAGGGGTGCTATGCTGCGTGGCCCAGGTAGTATATCTGCTCTTCTGCATGCTCGGCTTTGTGGTCCCTGAGGTAGACACTGTGTTGCGAGGCCTAGGCAGTGTACCTCTTCTCTCCTTCGTTCTTGGCTTTGTGGTACCGGAGGTAGTCACTGTGCAGTTCTTTAAAGACGTCTCTGGCCCCTGGCTGTAGCGAGGCTCGGAGGAACTGGACATCAGGCTCAATACAGAGGTCCAGGATGAGGTAGATGCCCTCCTGCAGTAGGTCCTTCACAGCGGGGTACAAGGTCACCTGGGAAGCAAGGCAGAGCTCCCTGAGGACACCTGGGACAGAGCTCTGGCTGCACCAGAGCCTTGAGGCTTTGGATATCTGATTTTTAAGGCAAGAAAAAGTCAACTTGTACAGTGCTAGGACCGCTGACCAACATACAGAACACCACTAGCAGCGCCACAGTTCCCGGGACCAACGAGCAGTTCAAAGCACTCACCCCAAGCCAGCCACATACAGCCCTGGTGGTAAAGGGGACAGGGCAGAGAAGACGAAAGCTGTAGCAATGTCCTTACCTGTTCCCATGGTGGCTCTGACCATGGGCGGAATAAGACAACTGAGCTGCAGAGAGTTCTACCTCGCATGTGCTCACCTGGGTCTGCCCATCAGGAAGGTGCTCCCACCAGAAGCAGAGAGTGTGCAGTCTGTTGAGCTGCACCTGCTGTCTAGCACTTATTTAAACCTAAAAGCACTGATCTGGAAAGACTGACGGTGCTCTCAGTAGAAGCTTCCAGTACACAGGGAGCCTTTTTCTCATTACTGAATTTACAAAACGATGAAGGTTACAACATACACTGCAACCAATGGATTTCAAGATTAAAATAACACAACAGATAAGCGAACAGTAGGCCTGAAAACGAGGCCAGGAGACCAGAGGCCTCTCCTAAGGTAAGTGTCGGAATAGCGTGACCCAAGGCTCCCATCACTGCTTGCTCTCTAGGCCCTTAGTGAAGTGATCTCACTGCCTCATCGTATTTTTTAGTAAAAGAACATGATGCTGACTTTTCTTTCATCAAAGTTTGTATAATAATGAGTCGGTGTTTGGAAATACCACAATTCACACAAATGGTATACAGTCGCAATTACCAAAGTAGGGGTGCGGGCATGTGCCGCTCAAGGACCATGCAGGGCCTCTGGCGCTCTGTGGTCTCCACTCCAGCAGGCAAAGACCCAGCTGCTCACACATGTGGCCAGGCTGTCCCTAGCCCCCTGCCCACACAGAAGGTGGACAGGGCCACTAGCTGAGGTCAGCACAGGTGGGTCATAAGATCACACGACAGTCTTAGTCCTGCCTGAAGCAGGGGCAGGGAGGCATGCCAAGCAGTCCACTTAGCCCTGGAGAAGGAGGCCCTTGTCCCCAAAGCCCAGTGCACATCCCAGTGTCCCGATTTGCTTACCATGCCCTGCTCGCTCCTGTGCATAGCCTGCAGGAGAGGCTGACTCCTTCACGGGAAGGCAGAAGCAGTGAGACAGGCACGCACTATACAGCAGACGGACACATGGGAGCGCTCCACTTGGCCTGCTCTCTGGACCTGCTGTGGGCTTTCTACCCAGGGCCACTTAAGCAAGCAGGTTGGTGCAGCCCAGTTTAGTCCTGTGGCAAATGCACTGAGGGTACCACAGGCTTCCAAAAATAAGCAAGGACATCCCAATGTAAGATGACTCAGGCCACAAATTCGTGACCTAGAACACTGAGCTGGGAAGTTGGACTAATCTGACCAACTCTGCCTGCCTCTCCACTTTGCCATCTGCTTTGAGCATCCGGGGCTGCTGGGTCTCATAACAGTGGCCCCAAGAGTTAAGATCCCTGCCACATGGCAGAGGGCCCAGACCATCAGCCCCTCCTCATTAGCCTGGTCCCACAACAGTTCTTGTTCTTGGATCTGAGTGGCATGCCACCTGTCAGATCACTTAGGGCATAGACCAAATAAGTGTCGAGTTTGTGCTAGAGTGACAACAAGCCGAGGAGCCCTGGCACCTCCCAGGCACAGCTCCACTCAGGCCTCAGGCCATCCCACAGTGATGTCAAACACACCTGGCCATGTACAGGACAGTGGGCTCAGGCCCACTCACCTTTCAGGGAAGAAGCCACTCAAGGGCTATGGAAGAAGATCTTGGGGCCGGGCACAGTGGCACATGCCTGCAATGCCAGAAGCTCAGGAGGCTGAGGCAAGAGGATCCCAAATTCAAAGCCAGCCTCAGCAATTTAATGAGACCCTAAGCAACCCAGCAAGAACTTGCCTCAAAATAAAATGGGTTGGGGATGTGGCTCAGTGGTTGAGTGCCTCTGGATTCAACCCCCAATACCATAAAATAAAAAAAAAAAAACAATAACCCTAGAAAGACACTCAGCCTGGACTTTACCTTTTGCGCCTCCGACACATACTGGGCCACCAGGAAGGGGGACGACGTGGTGAATTCCTCGGACCGCACAGCAATGTGGCTGTACATCCGCTCCACCAGGCGCGCACACTCCAGGACCACTGGCAGGTCATCAGCACATCCTGCAGACAAAGGCCAACCGGTTAGCTCCAGACACAGCACAGTCAGACCAGCTCCTCCAGTCTTACCTCTACTACAAGCAGATAGCCTCTACATTTTCTAGGCTCTCTGATTGGCTTATTTTGAAGAAAAGAGAAGGGAGAAAAGATATGTCCAAATATTTACCTAGACATTCAGGGGACAAAGAACATCCACAACACTCAAGAGTGCATGGGATGTTTAAGAATCCCACCAGGAAAATAAGACTTTCAGGATGACACTTAGAACTGCTCCTGTGTTTAAACAGGAGACACGCTTCTACAAGGCAGAAAAAACGGGAAAAATGGTAAGTTGTCTTACAGAAAAACAACGATGCACCAACATCATATGATTCAAAAAAATAAGATGCCAAATTGCGTCTGTGTTGTGGTAAAGGTGATGGACAGGTGGATATGGGCCTCACCTTGTCACCAGGCAGCCTCCGATCTTCCGGGACCCACTTTCCTGCAATGCTGCGGCCCCCAGGCCCTGACTCAGTCCAAAAACTTGCACAGCCTACGCCTTCCCTGCTTGGCTCAGCTTGGTGGCAGCCCAGTTCTGTAAATCTAGAAAATGCAAGTGAGGGGCTGGGGCTGAGGCTCAGCAGTAGAGCGAATGCTTGCCTAGCACATGTGAGGCCCTGGGTTCGATTCCTTACCACATAAAAAATAAATAAAAGTATGTCCATCTACAACTAAAAAATATTTTAAAAAATTAAAAAAAAAATGCAGAGAAATGTAGTGACACAGAGCACATTTGCCACAGCTGCCTGGGGCTGGGCCAAGAGGGGGTGCAGTCTTTCAGTGCGATTCCTGTGAAGCTACGAGATAGCAGCGCCAGGGGGCACTCCACAGCCCGTGGCAGCCTGCCGCTTCTCCTCCTTTCAGAAGCTCACCCTGTTGTTTCCAATGAGTACCTGGCAGGGGCTACTTCAGCCTCCGACTTCACGTATGACCACTTAAGAGTGCACCAGACAAAGGGAACGAACAGATGCAGGTGACTGGGCTGGACAATGTGGGCACGTGGCAGGACAATGACGAAGGACATGAGAGGTTAGGCCAGGCTGCACTCCACACCACAGGCCTCAGCCAGGCCTGCCCATCTCCCACTTAGGCAGACAGCACCATCAGAACAGTGCCCTGAAGGCACTCAGATGGGATCTATCTGCGGGTCTTAGCACAGGACAGCAGGCAGTCACTAGCTGCAGGCCCAGGCTGGTGTGAGAGGGAATGTTCCCCAGCCCTGCTCCTTACCAGACGCAGTCCTCCCTGCTGAGCATAGAAGGCTAAACTGCCCACTGTGCCGCTGCCTGGCCCCCAGCAGAGCACTGTGCTCTGCTCTCCAGCGCAGGCCAAGGACCTGGCTTACTGCCGGAGCCTGGGGCACCTGTGGGAGGTATCAAGCCTGCTCTTGTCAGCCCAGGCTGCTGGGCTGGGCTCCCCAACATCCTCAAGGAGATTCATAACCTCCCATCTGACCAGGGCATCCCACAACACCTGGTCCCCATGCTTGAGTACCATGTCTCAATTTTAAAACTGTAATGTAAAACAGCAAGTACTACTTCAGTGCAACCCCTCCCAATAGTGAAAACTTCCCAAATCAGAAAAGCAGACAGCATTCACACCTTCAAAGATGAAAAAAGACCCAGACACAGTACCTGGTACCGCCATGTGACAGAGTGAGTTTCCCTGAGAAAGAGGCACAACCCTGCGGGTCAGGCGAGAGGGAAGGTACAGGGCCTTGCCTCAGCTGCATGTCAGTGGGAAGCTTGCGCCCTGCTCCTTCTGCCTCCTAGAAACCACCAACTCAAGGGCAGGAGCACAGTGCCATCTGTCTCTGTCTCTTTTGGTGTTGGGCACCTTAGCACTGAGACACAGCCTAGTCTGTTTTGACTTTGAGAGAGGGTCTCACTAAGTTGCTGAGGCTGGCCTCCCCTGTAGGCCGCTGTGCCTGGCTGGCTGTAGTCATAAAAATGATTACATATGTAGTCATAAAAATATCTCCTGTATAAGCTATGTGGTAAAAAAAAATTTCCTAAATCTAGATACTTTGTTTCCAGAAAAAGAATTGTTTCAATTAGAGGTGACAAACATGTCCATTGTTTTGAATAGGATAAAATGAGTTTTATTTTTTCTTTTAATATCTTGAGTGATTATTTGATGATCTGAACTTGGCTAAAGTAGATTTATCTTAGTTACACCTGTGACCACTTGATAAATATACTTGGAATTGCCTCTGAGGCTGCTATTCTGAATTACCTTTGTCTTTCTGCCGCCCTTCGTGCATAACTGAAAACACCAGTCTGTTGAAGGAGTTCAGGAAAGACGGGATGGCCTTCAGCACCACCTGCAATGGCAGATCAGAGAATAGGGTGAGCGTGCAAGCGTCTGTCCACTTGCTTCTTTCTTCATCTCGCCTTGCAAGGCGCTCACAATAGGCGTGCCCTACTGCCAGGAGGCTCCTCTGGCCTCATCTCTGGTATGACCGCTCACCCACCCTGCACTCGACTCTTTAACCCTTGCTTCCAGTCTATGGTAGAGGTTCCACACTGAACAACTTCTAGAAGCTGGTGGACAAGCCTGGCCTAAAGTCTGCTAAAGCTGTGCTTTCCCCTAAGCTGGTTCTAACACACCTGGAAACAAACGGCAACATCTGACTCATTCAGATAGAATGCCAGGGAAGGGCCTCACAAGCAAATCCATGTAGAATGGGGAGCAAGACTCCTCTGTCCAGAGGGATGAAAAGGTCTGCTGGGACTCTATTTTAAATATGTGACCAAAATGACAAAATGCTTCCTCACATTCAACCCTTTTGGGAGCAGACCACGCACCATCCCCGGCAGCCCTGTGGGATATGCACACACACTGTTGGGAGCAGACCACGCGCCGTCCTCAGGCAGTCCCAGGCAATGTGCACATATTAGAAGCGGACCAAGTGCCATCACCAGGCAGCCCCATGCAGTGTAACACTCAGGTTAAACCAGTGCACACACTAAGTACAGCTAGGTATGCAGCTCCAAGTCATGCCAGTCTGCAAGCCACACATGGCCTTTCTGTTAGGAGGCCAGTGGTCACTGTGCTGGACTATACAGAAGCCACTGAACCCTTTACTGGACAGCATTGCCCTGCTGTGACTCAAATGTGGGACTTACTAGTGTCTTTTGTGTGTATCCAGCAAACTCTAGACAGCACTGCACAGGTCAAGTCACTGCACAGCCACAGAAAGGCGGGCTCTGCCAGCATCCCCAAGTGTTGCCACTCCCCAGCCTCTCCTGACCCTCTGCCACCTTAGGGTGAAAAGCCACAAATCCAGGAGCAGACTCTCCACACCACTTCCTCACATGACTGCAACAAGTCATCTGGCCTCTGTGTGTGTGTGTATCTCAACTTCCTCCTCAGCAAACAAGGACAATGAAGGACTCTCACAAGGACTGAGATAAGACATGTGGCTGCCGAGTGCGGCACTGGCAGCTAGCCTCTTGCTGCACACTCAGATGTCCCTGAGGCTAGTGGGCATCTGTGCCAGTGTGGACTCACACTATGGTCACCTGTGTGTCCTCCTCTTGCCTAATGTTCGGATCACAAAACGCTCTTATGTTCCTATCTAGGTCTGCTGAATGCTCATGTGATCGTGTTTTCGAAGATCCACACAGCCTGTTCGCGTGTCACCACTTCGAGAAATTCTCCATCTCTTGCAAAACTCCGCAGCCTTGGATTGTGACTGACTGGCACTGCAGGTGCACTTCAGTCACCTAACAACTGACAAGGACCTGACAGAAGAGGCAGGGCCACAGGTGATGGCTGGCTGGGGAAGGCTCTGGAGTGAGCCCAACTTGGTAAGTGCTTAGCTTGCTAAAGATGATCTGTCTGAAAAACCGAGCTGCCAGCAGGTCTCCCTCTCCAGAACAGCCTACCCTGGAGAACACCTGGGTGCTTTTGAATATGTGAGTACTTCATGTTCGGGAGTCCCCACTGCATGCAGTGAGCCTTAGAACCCTGGCCCAGGACATCCCAGTACTGACCTCCACTGCTTCACCACCAGAGAGGTGACTGCCACCCTTGCAGGCCAGCAATTGGGGAGGCAGCAGGTAGGCAGTGAGTGCTACCTGAGTGCGCTCTGCTGCGCTGTGAAGCGCCAAAGGCAGTCAGTCTACTCTGAAACCAGAGCCAGGGACCTCAGTCCTCCACCCACTCGAACTTGAGCCTAAGAGACTCCAGCAAAGCAGGGGTTTATTCAAACACGACCCCTTGAATATCAGTAACTAGCACCATTCGATGTGCTAGACTCATCAAAGAACACAAAGAGTCCAGTGCTCGTCTAGAGCCTGGAACTTCCTGGAGCCACAGTCTGCTTAGCAGAGCACCCTGCCCACTGCTCTGCAGGACAGGCGGTGTGCCCTGCTGAAGGCTGGAGTCCCATGCCCATGCTGTGGAGACTGCTGGCACCCTTGCCCCCCTCACCTTTGGATGACACTGTAGGATGGAGAAGAGCACATTGTGCAGCCCCAAGAAGACTCTGCCATACTCTGGTGGCCTCAGGTGATCCAGAGGGACTGTAAGCAGGATACTGAAGGCCAGGTTGACGTGGTGGGGGTTGCTGATGGCCTCCTCGCCCTGCCGCAGCAGGAGAGCCAGGACATCTAGAACAGGTTCGACCACTGTGAGGACCACAGGCCGCTCCTGACAAGCCTCTCGGCTTTGCAGCTACAGATTGAGAGAGGTAAAAGAAGAGAAAAAAACTGATTCTCCAAGAAACAACACGAACGCTGAGCACTGGCAGGCAGAGGAGACCGTCCAGGCTCCAAATGAACTGGTGAAAGGACAAGGAGGCCAGTCACACCCAAGGCACCTGCTGTGAATGTGGTCATTTCTTGCTGGACTCATCTACTGCAGAGAGAAGCTGTTTTCACAAAGGAGTTGATATATCCAGTTTCCCACAAGAAAACTAGAAGTCAGACACACATGATGACATTTTCCCAAAACAGGCCATCAGTTCCACATCTGGGACCAAATGTGACTTGTTAAACTTCTTATAAATCCCATCAAAGATGTCTAATCATTGTTCCAGAAAACAAAGAGAACAGACTGGAGAAGAGGGACAGTTCGAACTCTCCCCAAGTTCACCTGGAACAACACTCTGTGCCCTCTCTCTGACACTAAGGGCCCCTGCTGTGCTGGCCATGCAGAGGGCTTGCCACACATGAAAAAAATGAAGTGTTTCCAACCTGCGCGGCATGCAGATGACCACATGCCATCACCACCCGACCCCCCCACTGGCCCTCCAATAGGGATGCGCAGCACACACGTAGGAACCACCTGCTTCAATCATGGTGCAGACTTGGGAAACACAGGGAGGGTGAGGGCCACTCTCCATATCCTCTCTCTGAGCGTACTCAGACCCAGAGCACATCCCTTAGATGGCAGGGCCAGGAGCCACTGGGGACAATGGTGAAACAGACACTGCCCTGGGCACCATGGCCAGGAGGCTCTGGTCAGGTTCATCCTAGGGAGGAAGTGCCAAGCCTGGGCCAAACTGAACTAGGGTTTTGTTAAAGTGAAACAAAGTCGAGTGACCGCTGGACATAGGTCCCGGGGAAGACAACAACACAGGACCCTCCTGTCCCTGACACTAGTAGCCACTCCACAGGCATCTCCCTCACTGTCCCGCAGGCCTACACCCTCTCCAATGTACACACATTCTGCATTGAGCACAACATCTGTGGGGATGAAGCAAGCCCTAGCCTCTCCTCCCTGAGTCATGTCACCCAGTGTTTCTCATGCCTTCTTCCCTACCCCCATGCCAGGGCTGCAGATGGAACACACAAACTGGGCTGCTGCTCACAGCCACCTGCAGAAGCAGCCCAGAAACACTGCCCCAAGCCAGAGCCCAACGCTGGCTGTCTTCAGGGAAGAGGGGAAGAGTAGGAGAGCACATCCCCAGAGGCCACTCACCGTCAGAGCTGAGACTATCTGGGGACATGCACGCCACAACAGGCTCGCTTTCTCTCCACTGAGTGGGCAGCTTAGTAGCAGCTTGAGCAATCCGACAGCAGACAAAACAGCCTGAAACAAGGAGGGCACTCAGCGCAGGAAGCTCCCAATCTGGAGGAGAAACCCTCACTGCCGCTGATACCTTGACCCAAGAGCCCTGAGAGCCATGCTGAGGGCAGTGACGAGGCCTGAGGGCAAGTTCTCATCAGCATCCAGAGGCAGGGAGGTGAGCACAGCTCTGGCAAAGTGGGGCCTTTCAGGAGCCTCTCAGCCAGGCTCACAAAAGGACCAGGATAATGAACTCAGCCATTCACCAAGACTCCATGGAGGACGCAGGCTGTCCCTCAGAGCAGGTGTACCAGTTTTCAGATAGGAGGGGCTGGAAGAAGACACTGGGTGAGGTGCCATGGGCCCAGGCGCTGGCCTCAAGCCACAGCATGGGTGAACGGGCACCTACTGCCCACCGAGCACGTAACATCTTGGGTTTTGGCCTCAGGCCAGCCTCTTCTTCCCTAATACTGTACAGCCCACATCCTGCTGCTGCCCTTGGCCACTGGCCATGCTCACCTCTCTGGCTGTGCACTCACAAGCCCATGTGCTCCCACACTCCTGCCCCTGAAGGCCTCATGCCCAGCCACTTCCTCCCCACCCACCCTCTGCTCTGGCAGACCAGCACACTGCCTGCACTGTGCCCCTCCTCCTACTCCCCAAATCCTGCCATTCTTCAACCCTCAGTTAAAGCCCCCTCTTCCTGAAGACTTCTGACTGGCTTGTCTACATGGAAACCTGGGGCTAAACTGCCTCAATATGCTGGAGGAAGCCCCAAAGTCCAGAGGCCGAAGTATGCTGCAGAAACACAGTCCAAATTCCAGAGATGGGTCAGTGTGCAGGCAGGGGAGTGGCTAGGTAGAGCCCCTGTGCCCACCAAAAGACTGTGCTATCCCTGGACCCCCATTCTTCCCCAGAATTCCCAAATCACCATCCCTAGCTCCCTTCCCACCCAATCAAAACTGATCACAAGGCATCAATAGGACCAGGAGTGAAGGCAGCTGGACCAGAGGCCATGGCTACAGTACTGATCACCAACTATCAGCTCCATGTGACAAGGTTTCTGAGAAGTCAATGCCTGGGACCACCCAGAGGAGCTGATTCCAACACCTCAGTGCTGTGTATGAGTCATTCCCAGTGGGCCGCACCACTAGGGCTTTCTTAGGACCTGCACTGGGCTGCAGGACCACATGCTTCTCCAGTGCTGGTCTGTGGGCTGTGCTCACGTCAGGCTGTCTTCACGAACGTGTGATGAACAGGTGGAATTTAAGCATTCCGTGGGTCAGTACTGTGTATATGTCACACCTAGCTTCTATAGAGTAAGAAGGCAGTTTGTAACCTAGGACAGTCCCCTTTGAAATCAAGGGCTCCTCCCAAGGCTGGGCTTCTGTTCTCAGTGGGGATGTGCTTGCTTACTTCAAGGATGAGTGGAATCCTAAACAAGCCCACTGGCCAACACTATGTGAGCCTGCCATGCGAACAGAGGGAGGGTACCTGCCTGCAGGTCTGCCGTCCACACGTGACGGATGTCCAGCCCCTGGAGAACAGACCGGACCACCAGCCCAAAGTCCTCCATCGTCCCAGCCTCCAACATCTGGGTGAATAGGGCTCCCAAGTGAGGCTCAATGTCCTGGGCAGCCAGAGCAGGGATGGCAGGATCTGTGGGAAAAGAATCCAAGGTGTAAAGAAGTGACACAAGCCAGAGTGGCTGTAGGAGGCGGTGAGCAGCCACGCAGACTAGCGATCCCAGCTTGAGGGGCCTGGGACACTCAAGTGCTGGTGAACACAGCCCTGGCAGTGCCACTGACATAGAGCTACGCCAAGCAAAGTGTGCACACACAGTACACACACACATGCCGGCCACCAACAGCAGGCTCAGCAACAGTGCATTCTGCCCTTGGCAGCCTGGCAACTGGTGCCTACTTCCTTGGTGAGTCATATAAATTCAGTTAGGGGCAGGAGTGGGAATGTACTTTTCACTAGACAGGAGTGCTGGAAAGAGCAAGAGAACCTTAACCCCCAGGAATGTCACCTGAGTCCTCCAGCCTTCCTTCTCTGGCCCCAGCTTGATCCTCCAGCTGACTGACCACCCTATCTTGCCAGAATGCCTTCCACTTGCCAGTCTGTGCCCACTACTCTCAGAGCTGGGGGCAGGGGACCAGAAGTTCTATGAGACAGAGGTAGGTCTGAGTCTCCTACAAGCTATGAGACCCTAACTCCTGGCCACTCAGCCTCAGTCCCCTCATCAGTGAAATAGGCACTACAGCACCTACTCCTGCAGCTGGCAAAGAGCAGGATGCCATGGTGAGACCTCTCATGCATGCTCCCCTCCACCCGCCCACCACCCTTCACACAGCTAGGCTTGGCCGCTTGGTGTCCCCGAGTCCTGGGTGGGTGTGTAGAATCTCATGGCCTCTCTCCTGGGATCCATGAAGACGCTGTTACTTCTTAGACCAAAGCCAGCGGCTCACTGCTTCAGAGCAGGAAACAGTTCTACACCCAGGAGGACCAACGGTAAAGCTGGCTTCTGTGACCCCAGGGAGGAAATCGTTCATTGCCAGGAAGGATTCTTCATAAAGGCTCATGTGTCCAAGCCAAAAGCCACATCTGAGCCACTAAGGAGACTGGGACCTCCACGGGGTAACCTGTGTGGCCACTCTTCAGTTCTCTTAGACCACCTTTGCATTCCCTGTCCCTTGCTAGTGCCTTGAGCCACTCCTTGCATGGCATCTCTCCAGATGGCTCTCTACTCTGGCACTTCCCTGGACAGTCACATGGCTCAGGTATGAGGGCTGGACTAGGGACAGGCAGCACACTGGTCTCACCATAGCTGAGGCTCTGTCCCTGGGGTAAGAGGTACTACCTGCACAGGGACACAAGAGTCAAGGCTTAAAGACTGCCTCAACTTGCCATGGATTGCAGGGGATGGGGGACAAGGCATTCTGTTATCAAAAAGACCAAGCAGCCAGAACTCCAGACCCCAGCTGCTATTGCCTGGGAAGCCCACATAGGAGGATATTGCCGATCTGAGTAAAAGGCTCAGTATTAGCCCCTGTAGGAAGGGGAACACCACTCCTTGAAAAATTAGCTGACAGGAAGATACAGCATCATGCCGAGCTCCTTCAGCTGACCCACAGTCCAGCTGGAGAAGAAGGGCACTGACAACGGCAGCCTTGTTCAGGCCAACTTCAGGCTTGGCACAGACTCAGGCAGACCAGGTGGCTTTACTTCCTACAAGGCCCCACTGACCCTCATAATTTTTCTGTGGGAAAGGGAGCTCAGCACGTACTGAGGGTCAGGCTGGGCCCAAATCCTCAGCTTCACCTCAAAAGACTTGTCTTAGGTAGGTGTGGTGGCCATGACTGCAATTCTAGCCATTCAGAAGGCTGAGGCAGGAGGATCACAGGCTTGAGGTGTGTCTCAGCAACTTAGCAAGGCTCTGTCTCAAAACAAAACAAAAGGTTCTGTAGGTGTAGCTCAATGGTAGAGCACCCTGGGCTGAGTCCCTAGTACCATAAAGATAAGACTATCCTAAGTCCTAGCCCAGTCCTTTAGCAAAGCCCTATGGTAGGCTATCTTAAAACAGGACAGACTCTGGACCCACTAACCTTTGTTAGCCTTTAGAGAGAAATTAAGGTCTATATTATTTTCATATACTAGTGAGCATAATAGATTTTCATGATTTTTTTATTGCATTATCTACTTGTTTTTATATAGGCTTGAAAGAGGCACTCAAAACCACTAATCTTATGGTAAATTAAGTCATAGAAGAAAAGTGTTTATCCATTACTACATCTGTGTGAAAATGGTATACGAAGAGAGCATGACACTGCCACAACACTTGAACACATGGCTGTTCTAAGTTCTGTGTGTACTTCTAGCTCTTGTACACACACGTTTACTTTCTGAAGTTGTAACGATAGCACATTTAGCACTTTATGTTGTGGGGTTCTGGCTTGACACTGATGCTTGCCCACTAGTTCTGAAGCGCCTCCGTAGTTATCATCGTAGGGTTTCAGTGACCTATTAACCTCTACCCTGAGATGGAGGGAGACACCAGCTCTCTCTCTCTGAGCCGTTTGAGGTGCTGGCTAGCTGGTCCAGAGGGCAACCTCCACTAACACCATGCAATGAACCACAGGCAGCATGAGGAGTGGGGCTTGGAAGGTGGCACTGCCCTTAAGGAGCTATAGAAGGCCCCTACAAACTGAGCCATTTGCAATTTTTTTTGAGTTGGCAGATTTTACATCTTTTAAAAATCAAGGACTGGGGATATAGCTCAGTTAGTAGAGTGCTTGCCTCACATACACAAGGTCTTGAGTTAAATCCCCAGCACTACACACACAAAAAAATCAAAAAACAAAATCAAAGTATAGCCCTGAGAGTCTAAGAAGGGTGAAATTAACTAATGCCAGGCATCCACAACCAGAGCAGGTTAAAGGCCAAAAAAGAGAGGGGGGCTAGATTTCAACACACACACAAGGGTCAGCAGAGCAGAGCAGCAGTGAACCATTGCCCAGCAGGTGTGAGGCCCTGGGTTCAGTCCCAGTGCTAAGGAAAAAAAAAAATACTCCCCACACAGGACCTTCTCCAGAGTCAGTGAGGAACAAGGTGCTGAGGGGCACACCTGCAGGCCATGCTGTGCTGTGGGAGAGCCATAGACCTACTGCTCATACCTCCCTGTGGTGTAAACAGAAAAGAAAACCCTGGGGCCAACACTGGGAGGGCACCCTTCCCACTGTCCTTGTGGGAAGACCTTGCAAAGACAGCAGGTATCACTTACTCCTTGATCAAAAGGAGAGGCATGCTGGTGACAGGGCTCCAGCTGCCCAAGCCCCTGCTCAGGAGAAGGCATCTTACCTGCAAGAACTGTCCTCACGGCTTGAAGCATAGAGGCAAAAACAGTTCCTTCTGAGGGATGGAGCACTGGGGCGGAAAAGAACAGAGTTAGAAACTGCAAAGCTGCCTGGAAAGACGGAGTGTCCCTTGCCAGGGCTGGCAACTCCAACAGCAGTCGGGAGTAAACACTCTGGTAGAGGGCAGCGTTGGTGGGCACTACTCTGTCCGTCCCTTGTGCAATCCCAACCCAATCTGGGTGATGGCTTAGGTCCACTTCCAAGAGCGTGGCAACAGCTGAGAGGAGTGCTGAGGGCAGGCAGTGGCCCCTGGTTCCTGGCACCAAGCATGGCTGCAGTTCAGTGGCCATCTGCAGCATAGCCTGCTGCAGCAACTCGGGCAGTGATGCTGGTGCCTCCTGCGGCTGCCTCCGGTCCTTGACAAGAGGCCCCAGGACTTGGCACAACTTGGTTAGACACACCAGAAGCAGCTGGCTGCCCAGAGGGCTCTGGTTTCCCAATTGCTCACTGAAAGCTGCCTCAGTGTGCAATTTACACCTTGAGAGGAATGTGGTGATTTTCCCAAAATTGAGCACCAAGCTCAGTCTGCTCTGGATGAGCAACTGCATTAGCTGCTCCAAGAATGACCCCACCATCTGAAGGAACTGCAGCCAAGAGGGGTCATCCACCTCAAGACAGAGTCCACCACTGGCTGGTAACAACGAGGTTAGCACAATCTCAAAAATATCACTGACATACATGACTCTAAATACACAGCGGGCATTCCTTCCCCTCTGCAAGCAACCAAGAAGCTGGTAGCAGGTCGTCAGGAACTGGAGGGCCAGGGAGGAACAAGAACGCCCCTGTGTGCTGACAGCCATGGTCAGTAGCAAAAGAAAGTAATGCAAATGATGGGATGGCAAAAGGCTGTCCAGGTGCAGAGCAGAAATAATGTTCAGAAGCCCCAGGAGGTCTCCTAACTGTTCATCCTCCAGCCGGATGGGAAAATCACTCTTGAGCAGGGACAGAAAGTTCTGGGAAATTTCTCCTCTTGGTTCTACACCTTCAGGTCCAACTTTTGCAAATCTGGATTCCCAGTTAGCCATAACTGTGTGGTCCTTTTCAAAAAGCCAGGGTAACTGCTGGCTGAGAGGACCTGGGCCACTCTGGGAACCGGAGCATAGAATACTAGAACACCTTGTAGCTACGCACATCAGGAAGGCAGAATGGAGGGACTGCATCTCTGGAAAGAGAGGGCTGTGAAGGAGGGATGTGGACACTCGCTCGAGTGTGATGGATGGCTCTTCATCTGCAGAGGCTCCCTGGGCTTGGCTGGTTGGCAAAGTTCTTAACAGGACTCTGGCCAGGTAGCTGACATCATCCAGACATAAGTAGGGTATTAATATTGGGAGGTTTGACACTAACAAGTGCCAGTGTGCTGCAGGATACGTAGGTGCACTCACTGTTCCCACTTGCCCATCCCAGGAAGCTGTCATCCTTAAACTCAAGCTGCCCCTGCCAGAACCAAGAATGTAGGCAGCATCACACCTCAAAGTCTGGAGGACTTGCTCGGACTGGGAGCTAGTCTGCATCAGTGTCCTTCTCATTCTCTGCAGGTAGAGCTGTTCTAAGCAATACCTACCAAGAGATCTGGACTGGGCTGTAAACTTCTCGACCTTCTTCCAAAGCCGTGTTTCCACACCTGGGAGCAACGAAGGGCAGCTGGAGATCTCCAGCTGGGTCCCAGCCACAGAGCAATACTGGCCACAGTTCAAACTGAGCATGGCATCCACCTGGGCCCAGGTATAAGAGAGCAGGAGTGCAGAGTCACTCACCTTCTGTAGCCATAGCTCAGACTCTGGGCCTGGGGTGTCCAGGAGGAGGGCCAGAAGGGGCTTCACAAGCTCTCCCAGCACCCTCTCCATCATACACTGTGCCCGTCGGATGACAGGCAGGGGTGTGCTACTATCCAGGCTGGGCATGTTGAACATGACACAGTGTAGCAGTGAGCTGAGGGACAAAGACTTCAGGGCCATGTCGACATCACTCTGCAAACAGGGCAGGATTAAAGACTGGAACTTGTCCAGCACGAGGGACCACATGTCCAAGACCTGACTTGGTGGCAGTTCCAGGAGGCATGTGCAGAGAGCAGCAGAGGGGCCTGCAGCCAGCACAGGCTGCCTCAGTGCCTCCGCAGCTGGGCGGCAGATCACTCCCAAAAGTTCTTCAAACAACTGTGGCAACTGTCGGAGTTTGGCATATGTCTGGAAGAGGGTGTGAATAAGCACCTCCTGGGCTTTTTTGGTTCGAAACTCTGTTACTTCCACATCAATCCAAGCTGAAGACAACAGGTCATCTAGATCTGGCTCCAGAATCAAATGATTGAGAGATATCAAAATCTTGAGGCAGCGGAACCAGGCTGGCACGGGTGCTTGTGGGTGGTTTATCAGCAGCTCAGCCACCCCACGGTAGAAGTGGAACTGCACCTCCCCATGTCGGATCCTGTCAGTGGCCACATTGTAGATGTTGCTGCTAGCCACTGAGCTTAGCAGCTGCTCCACTACCAGAAGCTCTGTGGTCCAATCTGGTGTAGACATGGTTTTCCCTGGCTCCTCTTGCAGGTGTGAAATTCGCAGGCAGCCAAACAGCCTGGGGAGAGCCTGGAAGCAGAGAAACTGGTTTCCCTCCTTGAGGTAAGAATCCAGAAACAGCCTGTACAACACAGCGACTGAGGTGGCCACAACGGTGGCATGAAGGTGCAGTTCACAGTGGCCAGCATCTAGCAGTCTGGTCACCACTGTGTCCAGGGGAGTGAGAAGACTCTTTGGGGTCCCGATCTTTGTGTCTCTTTGCTGCTGGCCCAGAAGCTCCTCTGTGTAGGAAGAGAGCATATCAAGCTGAAAAATTCCCCCTCGAAGCACAGCCTCAAGCTTACTTCTGACTTCCCGGCTGAGCACCTGGGGCACCTGGCCCTGGCCAGACTGTGTCCAAGTACCCCCAGAGAGAAGGTGCCTCAGGATCAGGCAGGGCTGGAGCAAGTGCCCAGTCACCTCCCCAAAGACACGTCTTGGGTTGGCCTGCTGCTGCTGAATCAAGAGGTACTGGCCCAAGGCTAGGTGAATGACCTCAAGTAGTGGGACTGCCACAGCTCCCTCTGGCTGCCTACAGGCTGACCAGCACAGCTGGCTCAGCAAGGCCACCAGCAGTTCTTGTTTGGCCGTGTAGATGACAGCCAGGGCAGGCGTAGAGAGGATGCCCCGGCAGCTGCTTAGGACAGCAGAGATGTTTCTTTGGGATCCTGAAAGAGAGAACTCAGCTATTCTCTCATTGATGATCTGAGATTAAGAGAGAAAGAAAGCTCGTTACTTCCCTGAACTCACACATACACAAAATAGTACCACAGAACCAATCAGCTCATTCTTCTCCCACACTTGATACGAAAGAGATGTCCAGACTATCATATCTACCTGAACTTGACATTTGCTTAGAGCAACTGAAAGACAGCCAAGCACTTGCTTTGATTCATTCACACACCCACCTTTTGCCAGTATCAACTCCAAGCAGGCACTAATCTTTTGTAGGTTTGCTCACCATTTTTTAAAAGCTGGGCTTTAAAAGATTTAAATATCAGCCGTCACTTCTTCTCAGCCCCTGAATCTGTTAACTCAGCTCTGATATTAACAGGTAGGTGGACAGTGGCACTTGGATCATGACCGTGTGATCTAACATGTTTTTATAGTCAATTATATTTTTCCTTATTTAAAAAAAAAGGTACTCTAGGGCTGGGTATGTGGCTCAAGTGGTAGCGCACTCGCCTGGCATGTGTGCGACCTGGGTTCAATTCTCAGCATCACATATAAACAAAGCTATTATGTCCGCTGAAAACTAAAATAAATAGATTTTTTTTTTTTTAAAAAAAGGTACTCTATAAAGGAAAGCAAATTGCCAGTCACTGCCCATCATTACATAGCAGACCCACTATCTGCTGCTCTCAAAATTCCAAAATTCAAAGACAACAGAGATGAGAGCCAACCAGATTCCCAAATTTACTGACAGGCAGAGTGACTCGCTCCTTATTGGAGGTAAGAATCCAACCTGCCCAGGATGCTATGCTACCTACGAGAAGCACGAGGAGCACCGTCACTTCCACCTAGCAAGGGCTGACTCCGAACTTCAGGGCTGCTCTGGTAAGCTGCAGCGGACATGCTGAATCCTTAGGAGTCAATGTGCCACCATGGGCTCATCAGTAAAAATCTTTCCCACTTTAAAAATTTAAGTGTAGTAAGTGTGGTTTCTTGAACATTGAGATGTTCTAAATATTCCTTCCATACTCCAAAGGACGGTTCAAAATGACCCACTGACTGCTACTTCAAAGCACACAGTGGAGGGCCTCATCCCAAGAACTACTTGCAGCTCATGGCATTCTCCTCCACTGACTTCCCCTCTGCCCGTGCACCCATGAGGGTGAGGCTTAGATCTGATGGCAGGCTTTGTGATCAGCTCCAGCTGGTTCAACTCTCAACTCTACCTCACACCCACCACCTAAGTGATGGGAAGAAAGTTATGTAATCTCTTTGAGCCTGTCCCATACAAAATACTCCTTAGTAGTAGTCCTTGTGTAATTAGCTATACTCATGACATTTCAAAGTACTATTCTGACAATGAAATTCACATCTCTGATTTCAGCTTTCAAAATTACTTTCAGTCAAAAAACTGTGAGGTCCAGGGGTGGTAGCAAACACCTGTAATCTTAGCTAGTCAGGAGCCAAGGCAGGAAGATCACAAGTTCCAGGCCAGCCTGGAAAATTTAGTGAGGCTATGTCTCAAAATAAGAAATTAAAAGGGCTGAAATGTAGCTAAGTGGTAGAGTGCCCCTGAGTTTAATCCTCTGTTTTGAGGGTAAAAATTAAGACTAGCATAATTTGCTGGCTACTTTTTCCAATTAAAAAGGTAATCAAAATCTGTTCTGAAATAGTTCTAAGCTCTTATTTATTGACTGATACTGGGGATTGAACCCAGGGGCACTTAACCACTGAGCCACATCCCCAGTCCTTTTTAATATTTTTATTTAAAGATAGGATCTCGGTGAGTTGCTAAGGCCAGCTTTGAATTCATGATCCTCCTGCCTCAACCTCCGAAGCCACTAGGATTCCAGGTGTGCACAACTGTGCCAGTCTAAGCTCTTCTTTAACATTACATATTATAAAAAGCTTATTAGCATAGTGCAGACCACTTGAAATAAATCAATAAGTCACTTGAAATTTCCTAAATGTTCACAAGTTACCTTGACGAGGGAGATCTGAAGATTGATTGTCTTTCCATTCTTGAAAAGATTCTGCAATTTTCTGCTATGTAGAATGTTATCTATATAGGCCCAAAGCCTTTCAACAACATCTTCTGTCAGTTCAAGTTTTTTCTTATAAAATGCAACCAATGACTGTCTTGCCCAATCAAGTAAAACCTGAGTTTGAAGGAAACATACTCTTATGTAAATGAATTTCTTCTACAAGAGAGAAAGATGTTGAACACTCTGGGAACACCCAACCAAATCCAATTGCAAGAAGAACACTCTCCTGGAAGGTTCACCTGTGGTAAAATCACATCATGTCAACACCAGGGCATCTTAAAAAAATTTGCTTTTAGAAAAATAAAAAGGGCCAGGCCTGGTGGCTCATGCCTGTCATCCCATCATTTAGGGTGCTAAGGCAAGAAGATCCCAAATTTGAAGATAGTTTCAAAACAATACCAAAAAAAAAAAAAAAAGGATTTGAAGATGTAGCTCAGTGTTAAAGTGCACTTGGGTTCAATACCCCAAAAAGGAAAAGAAAGGGGAAAAACAGCCAACTTTGTCTTCATCTGGGGCCAATTAAAAATTCCAGGAGAAATGCTAACATCTTATCCTCTTTCCCACGCTGTGCTGAGTTTTAAGAGGTAGAAGCTCAACTGCTCGGAAGGTGGCCACAAGTGAATCACATACACAAAGCAAAGGCGAAAAGAGTCAGAACCCTGGGGTCTGTGTGGTGCTTCCCCAGCCCACCTTCAGCACAGCCAGGAGACAGTGGGTGTGGACTGATGCACAGGGCTGGACAAGAGGGGATGCACACATGTGCCCTCTATGACTGTCCATGTGAGAGTTGTGAGAAGTGGTGAGGCCTCTGTTCAGAGTGCCAGAAATCCCAGAGCTGCCAGGAATAGTAGGAAGAGGGGCACAAGCCAAAAGGGGAAAACTCTCAAGGTAAGGACAGTGAAGATTCTGATCACACAACCTGTCAGGCTACCCATTTCTGACCCTGAGCAGCACCAGCCAGGCAACCACCAAACTGTGAGGATGACTCTATGTGCAACCAGGTGAGGACAGGACAGGTTTCTACAGACTTCCCCTGAGCACTTCCACAACATGATCCATGTCCGATGTCTTATGCTGCCTCCTTTAATACCAGTATCAGGATGTGTGTCAGTCCAATCTCATGAGTCTTTAGTCTGCCATCCTACTGTTATCCCATTTTTAGCCAAATAAGATTGAGCAAAGAGCAATGTCCGTGGGACCAGCCTATTTCTAGCATGGCTTTCTCCACACACACTACAATACTGGGGATTAGACCCAATGCTAGGCAAGTGGTCTACCACTAATCTACCCCTAATCTCAACCCCTTCTCTGCACAGATTAATACTAACACTTTTCCATTTCCCAACCTTCAACTTGAAAGAAGTCAGGAAGATCTGACTACTTTTTTCACTGACATTACCTTTAATCAATCTCCAACAAAGTTTCCTTCCCAACTTTTCTAATCTTTTTTTCTTTTAAATAAATACCTATATGCAATTTGTACAGTGATTATTTTAAATCATAAAAATATAAGTGTCACATTAAACTTACTTGTTCTTTATTTGGAAGGAAGCACTGGTGGGAAACCCAAGCAAAGTGAGCAAGCTTTAGTTTATCTTCCCAGGAAGTTGTCTTGCTCTTAAGCTTCAGGGAAATGCCAGAATATACAGCAGCCATTGCCACACGTTATCTATAATAAAAACAACAGAAAGTTGTATTACAACAAGATCAAACTTAACAGGCACCAGAAAAGGAACAGCAGGAGTCTTATTACGTACTATTAAACATTTTAACAAATTAAAACACATCAATAACAAATTTCCTAGGGGAAATTCAGTCAAAAGTGTGCAGAAGACATGTTACAAATATTTCTGCTGTGAACACACGCCCAGAGGTAAGTGTGCAAGCACTCAACAAGGCAAAACCAAATGACTGGAATGGAAAGAATCATCAACTCTTCACATAACCTCTAAAGTGTACTATGTATCACCTGTTAGGATAAATTCTGTTAAGCAGTGCAAAGAAATAAATATGCAATTTAGTATTAGAAAAAGATATTTCTCCAAGGAAAAGAGAGAGCATTAACTCATCCCAAGAGAAACACTGTTATCTCTAATGCAACAGTAACTCCCCACTGTAAAGTCAGTATTCACAAAGAAATTTACACACCCCACACACCCCCCACATACACACCTGCAGAGAAGACTACAACAGATACACCCACAAATAATACAAAACTGAGGCAAGCAGCTTTGGATTTCTTAAGTCATAAGTAAAATGTTAAGTTATTTTCATCTCAAAAAATGAGCAATTTAGCTCAAGAGAAAAACTTTTCTGATACACCACATAGAAGTAGTTATCGAAAATAAAAACAAAATAGACTAACTCAAGAACTGAAAAAACATCACAGTGATTTTTTTTTTTATCTTTTGGTCAAACCAAAGGAACCTCTACCTTGAGGACTGCTGTAATTTATCCTGTAAGCAACTGCAGGGGCATCCCTCCCAGGGGGCGTGGCCACCTCCAAGCGCCCAAGCTGGCCCAGAACCACCCGGGAGGAGAGCAGGTGAGGCTCAGCTCAGGTGGGTTCTCCCTCTGGTGGGGCCCAGCCCTGAGCGAAGACTCAAATGGGGGAAAGGGGCTCACCCCTTGGGGGGAATTCAACAGGGCGGGAGGGATACCCCCGCCCTTGGTTAGAAGCAAGGCTTATCGCTTCGCTGTGGGGATCCCTGGGGGTGGGGGGCTCATTCCAGGAAGGTGGTTCATTTCTTGGGGGTGGTTCATTCCTTGGGGAGGTATGGAGGGGGGTTGTTATCCCTTGGGGGGCCCATTCTTGGGAGGGTCCATCCCTTGGGA